AGAATACCGAGATCGTGCCAGTTTTGAAGTGTGGTTACTGAGCGTAACCGAATTCGTGCAAGGTCACAATCAACGGAAGAATGTATGTGTTTTGGTACAGTTAAACAAACAAGTGCAGTAAAAGAATCACTGGTACAATTGGTTATAATAATAATTGTTTCCATTAAACTAATTGTGTTCTCTTGATAAAAGTAAGTCACTACACACTCATCAAGAAATATGTCAATGACGACCTGAGTCGTAGGTCTACACTGCTGGAGAATTTCTTACTAAGTTGGATTAAATGTCTAAGACTCTTTGTTTTCCAACTGCACTCCATCTATGATAAATTCGTGGAAATTATCCCCAAAACATAAAACTAATCTCTACAAGACTTGATCTAATATATACACATATTAGTTAACTCTTTTAAAATTACACTAGATCATTAGACTGAAAACAATTTAAATGTCAATTTTCAAATTACCTACTTCATTGATATGAGGATGAGGTTAATTCATTTGAAAATCTCAGTCGTGCATCAGGTTATACTAGTACACGGAAGGCGTGGTTATAATATTTGTAATTTTGCCTTGTCCAACTTCGGCTGACTGTATGATTTATTATGATGATTTTTATTATCACTGTTACTATTAATAAGACGATACTATACTGAGTACATTGAGCTATTCATCGACCAATGAGAAACACAGTGTAGTTATACAGCGGTTTGTAATAAAAGTAATCAAATTACAGTAGATAAATAGTTTTAACATAAACAATAGACTTATATGATAATTTAGTTGTTAGAACAAAAATAAAAGAGATTGGTATTAGTAGTTGGGATTAAGAACAAGCGTTAGGAGTTGAGATTAGAGTGCGAGCATACTTTATGTTACATAAAAACCTTTTATTATGCTCGTAATCACATCACATATGCTCATTAATTGATCAATATTTTAGCCGAAATCTGAACAAGAAGCAACTTTTCCTTGATATTTAGTTTACACAACTTGTCACATTCACTGTGTGCCGGTACTAAACATATTTTTTAAATCTTGAAGATTTAAGTAAATTAAAAGCCACTACTACTACTACTACTACTACTACTACTACTACTACTACTACTACTACTACTACTACTACTACTACTACTACTACTACTACTACTACTACTACTACTACTACTACTACTACTACTACTACTACTACTACTACTACTACTACTACTACTACTACTTCTACTACTACTACTACTACTACTACTACTACTACTACTACTACTACTACTACTACTACTACTACTACTACTACTACTACTACTACTACTACTACTACTACTACTACTACTACTACTACTACTACTACTACTACTACTACTACTACTACTACTACTACTACTACTACTACTACTACTACTACTACTACTACTACTACTACTACTACTACTACTACTACTACTACTACTACTACTACTACTACTACTACTACTACTACTACTACTACTACTACTACTACTACTACTACTACTACTACTACTACTACTACTACTACTACTACTACTACTACTACTACTACTACTACTACTACTACTACTACTACTACTACTACTACTACTACTACTACTACTACTACTACTACTACTACTACTACTACTACTACTACTACTACTACTACTACTACTACTACTACTACTACTACTACTACTACTACTACTACTACTACTACTACTACTACTACTACTACTACTACTACTACTACTACTACTACTACTACTACTACTACTACTACTACTACTACTACTACTACTACTACTACTACTACTACTACTACTACTACTACTACTACTACTACTACTACTACTACTACTACTACTACTACTACTACTACTACTACTACTACTACTACTACTACTACTACTACTACTACTACTACTACTACTACTACTACTACTACTACTACTACTACTACTACTACTACTACTACTACTACTACTACTACTACTACTACTACTACTACTACTACTACTACTACTACTACTACTACTACTACTACTACTACTACTACTACTACTACTACTACTACTACTACTACTACTACTACTACTACTACTACTACTACTACTACTACTACTACTACTACTACTACTACTACTACTACTACTACTACTACTACTACTACTACTACTACTACTACTACTACTACTACTACTACTACTACTACTACTACTACTACTACTACTACTACTACTACTACTACTACTACTACTACTACTACTACTACTACTACTACTACTACTACTACTACTACTACTACTACTACTACTACTACTACTACTACTACTACTACTACTACTACTACTACTACTACTACTACTACTACTACTACTACTACTACTACTACTACTACTACTACTACTACTACTACTACTACTACTACTACTACTACTACTACTACTACTACTACTACTACTACTACTACTACTACTACTACTACTACTACTACTACTACTACTACTACTACTACTACTACTACTACTACTACTACTACTACTACTACTACTACTACTACTACTACTACTACTACTACTACTACTACTACTACTACTACTACTACTACTACTACTACTACTACTACTACTACTACTACTACTACTACTACTACTACTACTACTACTACTACTACTACTACTACTACTACTACTACTACTACTACTACTACTACTACTACTACTACTACTACTACTACTACTACTACTACTACTACTACTACTACTACTACTACTACTACTACTACTACTACTACTACTACTACTACTACTACTACTACTACTACTACTACTACTACTACTACTACTACTACTACTACTACTACTACTACTACTACTACTACTACTACTACTACTACTACTACTACTACTACTACTACTACTACTACTACTACTACTACTACTACTACTACTACTACTACTACTACTACTACTACTACTACTACTACTACCACTACTACTACTTCTACTACTACTACTACTACTACTACTACTACTACTGACTGCTACTACTACTACTACTACTACGACTTCTACTACTACTACTACTACTACTACTACTACTACTACTACTACTACTACTACTACTACTACTACTACTACTACTACTACTACTACTACTACTACTACTACTACTACTACTACTACTACTACTACTACTACTACTACTACTACTACTACTACTACTACTACTACTACTACTACTACTACTACTACTACTACTACTACTACTACTACTACTACTACTACTACTACTACTACTACTACTACTACTACTACTACTACTACTACTACTACTACTACTACTACTACTACTACTACTACTACTACTACTACTACTACTACTACTACTACTACTACTACTACTACTACTACTACTACTACTACTACTACTACTACTACTACTACTACTACTACTACTACTACTACTACTACTACTACTACTACTACTACTACTACTACTACTACTACTACTACTACTACTACTACTACTACTACTACTACTACTACTACTACTACTACTACTACTACTACTACTACTACTACTACTACTACTACTACTACTACTACTACTACTACTACTACTACTACTACTACTACTACTACTACTACTACTACTACTACTACTACTACTACTACTACTACTACTACTACTACTACTACTACTACTACTACTACTACTACTACTACTACTACTACTACTACTACTACTACTACTACTACTACTACTACTACTACTACTACTACTACTACTACTACTACTACTACTACTACTACTACTACTACTACTACTACTACTACTACTACTACTACTACTACTACTACTACTACTACTACTACTACTACTACTACTACTACTACTACTACTACTACTACTACTACTACTACTACTACTACTACTACTACTACTACTACTACTACTACTACTACTACTACTACTACTACTACTACTACTACTACTACTACTACTACTACTACTACTACTACTACTACTACTACTACTACTACTACTACTACTACTACTACTACTACTACTACTACTACTACTACTACTACTACTACTACTACTACTACTACTACTACTACTACTACTACTACTACTACTACTACTACTACTACTACTACTACTACTACTACTACTACTACTACTACTACTACTACTACTACTACTACTACTACTACTACTACTACTACTACTACTACTACTACTACTACTACTACTACTACTACTACTACTACTACTACTACTACTACTACTACTACTACTACTACTACTACTACTACTACTACTACTACTACTACTACTATTACTAAACACCTTCACTTTTATTCTCCTTCCACTTTTTCTCCCCAGTATTTTAAAAAATAAAATAAATGAAGGAATAAATCATAAATATAACAGTCATATTTTCCAATTGGATTCCTAAACACTCCCAACCTAAGATTGTTCTTCATCCCCACTGACATCACCTCCACCATTATCATATAAGCCAGGTAAGTAAGGTAAGTATATTATTACATAAGCTATTAAGTAGATAGATAAATTGATATTACGTTTTATTGAAATTTTTTTTGTAAAAGAAATCAATAAATTTATTAATCAACCATGAAGTGTTGGGATGTTAGCAAGTTTTTAAGAGTATACATTTAAGAATTTCATTTTTGTAATTAATGTTGGTTGCATAGTGAATAAATTTTTTTTCGTTGATAGAGGAAAAAATTGGGAACAATTATTGAATTGTATTCAGGGTAAAAAAAAACATTGTTATGGTTATCGTCATTATCATTACATAATGTACGCAAACACCTTATCATCCAATATCTACAGGAAATAATGAAAACTAAGTCACGAATAAATTGTGGGAGAAAGAGAAGGAGGGAAACACACACACAGAGAGAGAGGGAGGGGTGAGGTTATGAATATTTTAGAAAAAATTCACTATTATCTGAAAGAAAATTACAGAGTGAAAGAATGATAAAACAAAGTATAAGTGATACATTAGTAGAAATAGGGAGCAAGTTAACGGATATATAAATGTACGTGTGCGTGTGCACGTGGCCATATTATATATGATGAAAATAAATGAGAAACTATAGCAACCAGAAAGTGTTTATCACTATTACCTGTTAACGTCATTAACATCATTATTATTACGATGAGTATCATTATAATTAATATTGTTATTACTTGATATACACATTATATATCTGGCATTCTATACATAAAATCATATGTTTTCTTTAAAATATCTACTCAATTAAATAGTTTCCATGGTTACATGTTTTGTTTTGTTTTTGTTTTTATTCTTGATGATTAACAAAAAAAATAGAGATAAATTTAATTTTTACAACTTGACATAAGTTGATGATGATGGAAGGAGAAAAGAGATTGTATAATTTTTCTTCGTTCTTACAAAAATACCCTGACAATTTTGGCTGTTGCTAATTAATGTATTTTACGGTGATCGAGCAACTGAATGGATAGAGAGTGAGTGAGTGAGTGGAGT